AGTGCAGACAACATTGCTGAATGCAGGAAGTTGTTTGCTGCCAAAAGTCTGAGCTCTTTAGTGTGCGCGTCCACATGCTGCTAGTGATTGGAAATTACTGTAGTATAACAGGGTATATATACGGGCTATATATGGATAATGGAAACTAATATAATATAGTAGGGTGTATAGGGGTTGTTCGGTTCAAAGCTAGCTTGTTTTTGACCTGAGCTGTTTGTCTCAAGGTCTCAGGCTTCAGGAGGTCTAATGTCATGCCAGGTCCAAGACTATCGGTTTCTTGTAATACCGTTGACTCAAGAACGCCTTGACCCTGAACCCCAAATCCTAAACCCTGTCGGTAGCAACCCGATCAAGCCTATGATCGGCCACCGTCGCCCCTTTTTGGGCACCTGAGCAATCAGGTTCCTGCGGCATGTCCATCTCGTGAGAAGTACCTGGCTGGCTCGTGTCGACACTCATTATAAACTCTTTTTTTCCAAAGAAAAAAAAGGATTGCATGACATGATCAGAGCACTCCGTCTCTTGAAGAATGTCACGCGAAGGATTTGGAAAACGGGAGAGGTTTCACTGCCCCTCAGTCCTTCAAGATGCGGGGCTCGTTCGAGCCGGGAATCTTCAAGGTGTCGCCGGTGTGGCCCCACTTGGTCTTCTTTAGGTAGTTGGCTAGGTCATTGATCTTGGGGCTCTTCTTTGGGGACTGCTGGAGGATCCAGGTCAGGTATTCCGAGACCTCCTTGATGTCTGAGATAGCCATTTCGCGATAGCTCATGCCCCTGCTCTTCACCTTCGGCAGGTCACAGACCGTGCGTCCCCAGTCGAACACACTGGAGATGCCTGGTGGAAGTGGAATCTGTGCTGAGGCATCCTCGGCGCCTGTGTTGGGAGTTGCCGCCGCTGGACTTGCCATCGGCGCTGCAGACGATGATGCCACCATCAGAGCATGGTCCACCATCTCAAAGCAATCGAGATGGTTTCCACTCTCCACGGTGCTCTTGAGCTCTTCGGCCAGAGCCTGGTCCATCACCTTGATCTTGCCTTGCACGCTGAGGCGCTGCAACCAAACACGGATCTCCCCGATGCGAGGCATGTCCTCGCTGGACGGGCCACTGCGACGGATCTTGGAGCTAGCCATGGTTGCAAAGCTGCGAAGGCTACACACACACACGCGCTTGACACCCTGAGGAAGGACTTGCTGGGCCAAAAACAACCAAACACCTCTTTTGCACTCAGTTCACGCACTGAGGCTTGCCAGCTCTGCTGTTACTCACTCCCCGCTATACAGAGGATGCGGCAGGAAACAGGATACTCAACCTAAATAGCCGTACCCCTAAACGGCAACCCTACAAACAACTACGACACTGCCCAAGAAAGGACACAGGTGACACTTGATGGGGCTATCAGGATTACTGGGTGGAGGTAGTAGGTTTAGCTACCTTCTGCGCCTGCAAAAGCTCGCGATGAGCCTTCTTGGCCTTGAGGACTTCTGCTTCTGGGGCCAACTGGTATCTACCTAGAGATAAGATCGCCCTAAGAAGATCGGCTGGATCAGACTTGTCTTTGGTGAGTGCGTCACAGACCATCAACTCAGACGGCACCCATCTGATCTTAAGGCCAGCCCGCTCGGTGGATTGCTTAATGATTGCAATGTCTACACAGACCCGCTTATCCTGAACACCGGACAGAGACGACAAGCTGGTCACGTGATCGTACAGACTCTTGCAGTCTGTGATGCCTACAATTGGCGTTTTCCGCAGGAGAGGCTCGCAGCTGCGCAGGTCGAAAGAGCCGTGCAACGCTTCCGCGAGAAGCAGCGACATCCACTCTGCTTGAGCAGCTGCGCACGAAAAGGCTTGGGCTTCGCCGCCTAGGGTCGATGGAACCACCCTATGGAGTTTATAGGATTTCCAACAGAAAGGACTCCACACTGCAGACTGATTCTCTAACAAACCTCTTTCGGCAAAGGCAAGCACGTAGCCTGCTTGTGTGCGCTCACCTTTTGCGTTGCCCCAAGCTGCATCACTATGCATACAAATGCACAAACGTTCCAGAGGCACAGACCGGACATGGATCTCAACATCCTTAAACTGACGGGCCCTATGAACCAACTGGTTAGCATACAGGAGATCCCTTACCTTAGGATTAGGGAATGCCTGCTGAGACATGGACACTTGAACAGCGATGTCCGGCCTGGTCTGATTTGCAAGCCAGTTTGCTGCCCCGTTGAGACCACGGAGGGCTGCAACCTCCTTGGGGGAGGCAAGGGCATCCTTCTGGCTAGCCCGGGACTTGGAGAGGTTAACAGGTCGAAGGAAGGACGCATACTCTTTCTGATGATAGGAGATCTCGAAGGTCTCAGGGTCTTGAACGTATTGCACTCCGCAAAACTCACCTGACCCTACTCTCCACTTTCGGTAGGAAAGCGTTTCTTCAACAGACTGAGAGCATGTTCATAGGCAGCCCCTTCCCCCCCGGTGATAGAGTCGTCTACGTGGGCCCCTAGAATTCCAGTAAGAGCATTGGATTCTGGGCAGCGGAAGAAGTAGACGCAGCTATCAAATTGTGACCTTTGAAAACCCAGAGCTCTTGCCTCTTGATCAAAGGCCTGCCACCACTCAAACGGAGCGTCATTCAGTCCATAGACGTTACCAATAATTTCAATGACACTGTTGGGTTCTACCCCCGGGATCCCCCCCTGAGGCTGGTGCGCGAAGAGAGGACGATATCGTTCTTTAAGGGGGCCTGCTTCGAGAAAAGCTCCTTTTATGTCTCCTAGACACATCCTCCAACGCTTTGAGACCAGGATTTGCAAGAGCAAGGACCGAGACAACTGTGACATGGTGGGCGAATGACACATGCCAGAAGACACCTTGGACATGACGTCTGGGTCGAGATGTCCTTGCAAACACCATCTCGCCTTAACGTGCTCTCCGTCTTCATCCACCTTGTTGGTGACTACGAAGCGGCTTCCAACAAAACGGTCCGGGTACTTGTCCCGGATGCGCTGCGCCTCCGCACCTTTGTGGACACGGGTCGCGGCTTTGGAAAGCATGGTCTCCCATTCCTCGCCCTTGGCTGTGTCTACCTTGGCTTGCAGGAGAGGCTCGTTGCCAGTACTTCGTATCTCTTTCTGGAGGCGTTTTTGGAGAAACCCTGCCAGGAGAACTTCAAACTCTGTGGCTGCTGGACACTCTTGTCGCAGAGCGTCCATGGTGTCCTGACAGAACAGGACTTCGCTGGCTTCAGTGTTGTGAGGGCTTGGCCCTGTATGGGACTCAGAGGCCCGAAGCTCATCCGGGCTAGGACTGGCAGGTCGCTTTGCGGCAGGCTCTCTTGGACTACCCAACTCGACGGAAACCTGCCTGGAGCCCCCAGAGTCCGTACCTAGAACCTTGGGCATGACTTCTTCAAGCATCTCCATGAGATCCTCTGCCTGCAGCTCTGTGGGTCTACGGATTGAACCGGAACCGGTACGGGGACCAGACCTAGGTTTAGGGGGACGGAGCGTATGCAGGTTGTTCTGCAGGAGAGGGTGGCTCTTCAGGGACACCACTTGAAGTAGGTAAAGCGGACGGAACGGCTGCTATCGGCTGCTGCCCTTGCAAAAGTTCAGCAGCAGTCAGGCCGGCCTGGCCTGGTTCGGCTACCGGGAGCGGTGGCAGAGCCTCTTCCACAGAGGGTGGCTGATCTGAAGAGGACAGATCCACAAGCTGCTTCTTTGGGAACTTTCCTTGGTCAAGAAGCTGCTTCATTCCCAGTAGTTCTCTCTCTTCTGTTTCCAGAGAGACAGGTCTTTCTTCTTCAGTAACAGGCCGCAACTGCTCTGGAGCGCACCGCAAGAGGCTGCGTCTGTGAGCGATAATCACATTCCTCCCCACTTTTCCAAGAACCAAAGCAGGACCGTACCACCTACCCCCCCTTATAATCGTGCCCTTGTCAAACTTTTGGGTCCTCCAATACGCAACCCATTGACCTGAGACAAACTCTTTGGTAACCCTGGGACGTGCTCTCAAAGCCTCTCGCAGAGCTTTGCAATCCTGGCTAGCAACCATAGCTCGGCGAGCCGACAGACGAATCTCGGCTTGACGTCGCAAAGCATGATCGCAGGATGACGCATCCGAGGCTATGATGTCAGGGTTTTCTTGCATCAGATCTGAGGGGATACGGGGATTCCTACCGAACACAAACTGACATGGGCTTACCCCGGCAACATTGAACATTGTGTTCTTAGCAGAAAGCGCTTGTGTCACACACTCTCGCCACGCAGACTCGTCTGTTGGCTGGTTGTCGTGCAAAACTTTTTCGAAAACTCGGGCGAAAAGACCACCGTGACGCTCAACCTTGCCTGCTTGCCAGTGAGCATCGGCTGCAGTGTGTCTTACTCTGGTTCCCTCGCTTTCACAGGCAGAACACAAGGCTTCAGCAAGGTTGGGCTGCGACGGATCAAGAATGAGCTCCTGAGGAACGCCTGCCCAGCTCAGCCAAAACTGCTGATAGGCTTGTCTCAGAGTCTCTGCAGTTTCTCGGGCATAGAGGGGAATGATTTGCTGAAAGGAGCTACCATAATCAACAATGTTGACACAGGGGATCTTATGGTTCGGCTTCCAACCCGGGAGGTACTTCACATCAAGGCCTATACGTTCATTAAACCCTTCTCCTTTGGCAGGCACTGCAGGCAAAGCGTCGCTTGGACGCTTGGTCGCTTCGCACGTGGTGCATCGGAACTGGGAAGCCCGTTTGATCGCTTCCTCCGATGCTCCGCTGTTCTTAAGAACTTTGAGAAAGGTAGCCGTGGAGGGATGGCCAAGGTTATTATGGAGTTTGCGCAAGGCTCTACCTATGGGATCCAAAGGACTGCTAGGGGACACCTGGGGATTACCTGGGGAATCCTGAGGACTACTAGCATCGGGAGGCTCAGCGACGGTGTTGCTACCGGTGCTGGGTGCTGACCCAGCAAGGCACTCATATGGCTGGAGATCGATCAGATCTTCCTCCTGAGCAAAGCAGCACAAGCAGTCTTGTTTATCCCTAAGGATTGGCTGAAGAAAGGCTTTGACAAAAGATGCAGGGTACTGTCCGGCATATTGACTTCTACATACCCCTGTTGATGACTTGCCCTCTATTACTTGATGATTGGCACAACCAGGGCAAACACGGCACTGGTCCTTCAATGCTTGGTCACTCAACAGCAGCCCGGTCGGCTTCTGCATCCTATGGCGATCTCCGGGGCACTGGAGATTGTAGGCGCACATGTCTACCCTAGACTTCCCCAACTTATGAACTAAGGGCTTAAAAGGGTCAAAACGCCACAAACCCGAACTCCAAGGATGTTCCACTAGAAGTCTACCTCCCCGCTTTAGTTGCTTGTTGCACTGTTACGCAGCAAACCGAGCCTGAGCACGTGCTTGTTGCACAAGCTTGGCCCGCTCCAAGGGGGTCATCCTGGATGAGTTCAGATGGAACCAACCACCCCAGTGCTTACAGGGCGGACACACAACTAAGAGGTCTGGCGCAGCACGCTCTAGAAGCCTGTCGACCTCCTTCTGTGTATCGGCATTGGTCAGATCCCAACCCTGAAGTAAATCAAAACTCAACCCCTTGAAACCCAAACGCTCAGCTTCGGTCTTAAACCTTGGGGGAGAAAACAGTTCAGCAACTATAATCTGGCTATCCCTTTGGTGCTGCACCCTATCTTGCTTCTTCCACTGGTTGAGGATTTGCCTGGTGATCCGCTTATTAGCCTGGATGGTAGGGGGACCTATACCAACCTTTTGGGGAATATTAGGGAACTCACTTTTTGGGGATTCCTTACTATCCTGCTGCACGGCAAAGGATTCTGCAATGGCAGGCGCTGCTCCCGTCCTAGCCTGTGACACGGGGAAGTCCACAAGCCTGAGGAGGAGCTGGCCGGCGCTGTTCCGCTCCAACGGCACTCTGGAGTCCTGGTCTAGGATCTGGGCCTCACCCTTGGCAAAGTCCACGGTCATGCACAGCTTCTCCAGTGTCGGGCGTCCAAGCAAGAGCGGGGCCTTCCCGCGAATGATCGCAGCGTTGATACGACCAATCTTGCCATTGATGGCCACTGGGATGCAGGCGGAGGTCGTGGAGTCCTCGGCCTCGCCATTGCCAAAACGAAAGGAGTTCCGCTGGAAGGTCTTGGTCACCTGGCGGCCGCCCAGCAGAGTCTCCATGTCGCGCAACGTCTCCTCACCGATCAAGGTCTTGCCGCAACCGGAGTCGACCACGCCATAGCCCGGAGAGGAAATCAAGGATGCGGCGAGGGCCTCCTCGGCAGCTCCCACGAAGTAGATCTCCTCCTCGACGTTCTCGGGCTGGGCCAGCAGTGTCTCCGCCGCACGGTTGTCCAGCAAACTGGAGCTGTCTGAACCGGCTCCTTTGCCAGAGCTCTTTCCAGAGCCCTTGCTGGAGGGAGGAAGCTTGCTTCGACACTCCTTCTGCCAATGGCCTAGCTTGCCGCAGCGGCGACAACGTGTGCGCCGCTTGAGCTCTTCAACTTCTATTCTGAAGCTGCGGCGGGCTTGGTCGGCAGCCCCAAACTTTCGAGACTTCTGCAGCTTGCCTATCTCGGCCCTGCGCTCCTTCCAGCTGACCGCGAGCGCTTCGGCAACGTCGCCCTCCGACAGGGGGTCCTCCTCGTTGACCGTCTGGCCGAAGTCGGCGAGGAAAGCCTCGACATCCGGGAAGTCGTTCGTCTCGTCGTCCTCGGGCGCGTTGTCGTTCTCCTCTGCGATGAAGACGGAAGTCGCCCTTCTGGACTTTGAGCCGCCAGCGCGGTACGTGGGAAAGCACGAGCGAATGCCCGCGCTGACCGTCTCCAGGTCCAACTTGCCTTGGGTCTTTGCCTTCACTATGGCCTTCTGCTCTTCAGACAGGCCAGCGCAGTGTAGGGCTATCCAGCCCCTTGCTTCCACAGGGAAGTCCACCTTGGCCTTCCGCTGGCACTTCTCGAAGGTCTCACGCACTCGGGCAGTCCACTCCTTCATCGCTTCGCCATCCTGAGCGGCCAGAGCGAAAACTTCTCCGAGTGCCTCTCCCATCTGATCGTGGACCTCCTTCTCTGGAAAGCGGTCCTCGAGCAGAGTCCAGATGGTCTTGTCTCCACCATCCTTGTTCAAGTCCTCAAGGGTGAGGTGTTCACATGCCTCCAAGGCACGACCGTCCAACAACGTGAACAGCCACGGGCCGCGCTGCTCCTTGGACAAGTCTTTGACAGTGATCATCCGTGCAAGGGCCCATGCCTTCCACTTCTTGAGGGCTTTTCCGGCGTCATCATCGTCGCCAGAGAAACGTTTAAGGTTGGAACTCCGTTCCTCCGACATGGCTCGTGTCGAAAGACCTTCCTACCTAGGAAGGGTAGCACTTGGAGCCCTGGCTATTCCAGAGCTCCGCTACCAATGTCGGTAGCAACCCGATCAAGCCTATGATCGGCCACCGTCGCCCCTTTTTGGGCACCTGAGCAATCAGGTTCCTGCGGCATGTCCATCTCGTGAGAAGTACCTGGCTGGCTCGTGTCGACAACCCTAAACCCTAGTCCTAAACCCTAAACTCCAAACCCTAGACCCTTAACCATTTCTGCTAGGGAGGTTGCCCAGCAGCTCTCTTATTCTTCACTAGTGAGAAAATTCTGGGGGTGCTGATTGATCTATCAGCTCAATTGAACTGTAGTCTAAACTCCTTTAAGGGGGTTATGTAGAGGAATATAGGGGAGCATTTTTAGGGGATATTAAGGGTGATACTAGCTAGGAGTTTAGACTATGGCTCAATTCCAGCTGCACGATTGGCTGTTCATGCCAAGCGCTGGACGACATGCTTTTTGAGGTATGTGGTCAGAATGTCTTCTAGGGAATGTTTGCAGTCGGTGTGTGGGTGCTGAAAGTTTGTGCTGCTCCCAAGAAAGGTCGAGAAGGGATCAGCGGTGTGATTGAGTCTGTGGCCCTTTCATAATAACCAATACAACTACCCCACCGTAAGCGCCTAAGCCTTAAACTGTAAAGGAACCTGAAGCATTTGGCCCTCAGAAAAGCAAGACGGGCTGCTGACTTAGACTGTGGAAGGCGCAGATGGAGACTCTTGCTTCGCAAGAGGCGGAGACAATCCAGGAGAGACTCCGAGATGTGGCGTGCTGTGGGGAGAGTGGGGATTCGAAGGGTTCGCACATGCTGGTTCGGGTGACTGATTGGGGGGGATTTGCTGCTGTAATTACCTTGACTTCTTGTATTCCGTGCGCCAAGTTTATTTTTGCAGGGCCTTCAATATAGGCTACCTCAACTAGACCTCAAAAGGATGTTGAGCATTATTCGTTTCTGGTGTAGCTGCCGTAGATGTCACCCAGAGTCCCTCCACAGGAGAGCCAGACTTTGACGCGCTTGCTCTTCGACGCTTCCAAAGCCGGGCAGCCTACAGCTGGGGAGTAAAGCCTCCCGCGTGTTTCGCGCGTGTTTCTGTGTTGCTGTTGCAAAGCCCGTTTACATCTAAAGTCGCTATTCCAGCGGGACGCTGCCTTACCATGTAGTTGTTACTGGTGCTTCAACATTTGCAGTGGTGGCGGCCGCAATGGGGAAGAGGAGTCAGCAAAAGCAGCCCCTTTGGCATCATACTACGAAGGTAATCCTAGCAGCCATCGCGGTCGCATGACCAGCATGGGAAACGGGATCACTCAGAACAAGCAGGTTCAAGACCGCCGCCCCAGAATCTATTTTTGAAATTGTCCCGGTGATGATTCTAGTGACGATAGCCAAAACAGCTAGGGGTAATGCGTAGAAAGCAGCAACATGAAACATCAACCTCATCTTGCAAGCGTTTGACCCCACCATCCTGATCCCTCGCCGCCTTCTTTCTCTTCATTCTGTGCTCCCTGAAATCTTCCACGCCTTGGCTCCCGCAAACACATGCGGAGAATTTCTACGCGGCCCATGCGGTTGGAACATGTGTATTTCATTGTTGCTAACCTCACGCTCCCAAACTTCATGCTCCCATATCACAATCCCCAGACTGGTCCCTGCAATTCTTTTAGATACCCATGAGAGTGAATTTAAAAAACCCGTGTAA